TATATAAGACTTTTTTCTTTTCGTCTAAAATCTTACTCCTCACTCTTGAGGGCCTCCCACGGGGCAGTGTGTGCCTGGCCCCTTGAGTTCTGTGTGTCTGCGTCATGGTAACCACATGTCACCAACGAGTCAGCCACACACCATCCATCCACACTGCCATCCATCATCCTTAGAGGTCCCCATGGAGTTTTTTTAATTCTTATCGTTTCTCAAGCAGCTCTATCCTCCTGGAGTTCTTTTCTTGTTTTACATGGGGCTTTTGTATCTTCTCTGTTTTTTTAAGGCCCGTTTCAAAACCCACCTTCATAAGGAGCATTTTCCAGTTGTACTTCTACTCCCCTAGTAGCAATAGCTGTCATAGAAGTGTATGTATTCTTCTCTTGGGGTGCTTGCATTCCTCCTTTTAGTAAAGTTATCCGTGTACATATCCTTCTTCTCAGACTGGCCATCTTTGAGACCAGGGCCTCTGCCTTAGTCTTCTTTGTTCACCCTCTATGCTCTAGCACTGGCCATGCTCACTGTAGATGTTCTACACATGAAGAGTAAGGATGGGAGCAAGTACATGAAGATCCATGCATGTGGGGCTTACCTGCGAGCCTCTACTAATCTAACCACCTGCAAGTTGCCTGTATACCAAGGCATCTTGGGAAATAAACGGAGTTAGGGCCAGGTTGTGAGGGCCCTGTGCACCAGGCTTGGTTCAGTTGGAAGTGGAGCACTATTATTTTTCTATGGAGTCTGTTTGTTTGATTATTTATTTAACTTATTTTTTATGGAGACTATATATATATATATATATATATATATATATATATATATATATACACACACACACACACACACACACACACACACACACACACACACACATACACATATATATGACATTATATAAGTTTCAGGTCTACAGCTTCATAATTTGATATCTGTATACACTATAGCATGCTTACAACCAAAGTCTATTTTCCATCTGTCACCGTGTATTTGACCCCCTTTACCCATTTCACCCTACCCCCACCCCTCTTTCCCTTTGGTAACCACCAATCTGTTTTCTGTATCTATGACTTTGTTTTTGTTTTGTTTGTTTGTTTGTTTGTTTGTTTGTTTCATATTCCATGTATGATTGAAATTATACGTTTTTTATCCTTTACCTTCTGACTGTTTCACTTAACATAATAATCTCAAGATCCATCCATGTTGCCACAAATGGCAATTGTTCATCTTTTTTATGGCTGAGTAGTATTTCATTAAGACCTTCTTAATTCATCCATTTGTTGATTGTCACATAGGTTGTTTCTGTAGCTTAGCTAATGTGAATAATGCTGTAAAAAACACAGGGGTACATATATCTTTTTGATTAGTGTTTTTATATCCTTTGGATAAGCAACTAAAAGAGGAACTGCTGGATCATATGGTAATTCTATTCTTTTATTTTGAGGAAATCTTCATACTGTTTTACATAATGAAAAGCCCGTTTTTTAAAAATTGAACATCTTCAGTGAACTTTGTATCTCATGATGTACATGTTGAGAAATTATTTAAGAATGATTAGTTTGGCAGTGATATAAGGATGAATTGGGAGGGTGGTGAGCAGGCTGTTCTCAAGAATTACTAAGAGGAGGAAAGCAATGTAATATTTGGGACTTCCTACCAGTTGGAGTAGATTTAGAGATAAAATGCCTGCCTATATTTAAAAGTAGAAAGACATTGGAGAGAGGAAAATGAAAAAAAGAAAGTGGGAAAAATTGATATTGCTAAGAGCGAAAAATGTGATCAGACTGAAAGACAGCATAGCTCAGATTCAAAAGCGTGGAAATTTGGATAAAAGAAGAGGTTAGAAATGCAAGGATGGAAATGCTGTTTATTACTTTAAAAATTGAATTAACTAAAAAGGATACATTCTTTAAAGTGAAGAACAAGCCAATCACTTAAGACTAGAAATGTTTTTGTTTCAATGTTGTTATATAATATACTAACTGTACGTATTCCTTTTTTTCACCTGATCAGTGGATCTCTTAGAGTTGAATACAACAAATGAAGTTTTCAAACAACACAAGCTGAACCAAAATGATCAGCTTCTTAGTGTTCCAGATGTCATTAACTGTCTGACAACAACTTATGATGGCCTTGAACAACTGCATAAGGATCTGGTCAACGTTCCGCTCTGTGTGGATATGTGTCTCAACTGGTTGCTCAATGTATATGACACGTAAGTTTTTTGTTTTGTTTTTTGCTATTAACATACAATCATTGAACAAAAAATGTTAACAATGCAAACTATGGTTTTTTGTATTCTCAGACAAACAAAATGCATAATTTTTTTTTTAAAGATTTTTTTATTGGGGAATTGGGGGGATGGGAACAGTGTTGGGGAACTGGGGGGAAGGGGAACAGACAAGTTGCTGTCGTTTTTGTTCTTCAGTCTAGTTGTGGAGGATGTTGCTTCACTGGCCCAAGTTGGCATCTTAGCTGTGGAGGGCAGTGTCACTGGCCCTCATATGTGGGATCCGAACCAGGGCCCTTTGGCATCCCAAGCCAGCTCTTAAGCAACGCGCCCACTCAGCCGGCCCAAAATGCATAAATTTTTAAAGTGCATTTTTTAAAAGTAATTTCAAAGTATTTTTCCCATTGGAAATGGCTGTATTAATTTTCAAAAAATGAATGACTTTCCAAAAATTGAGTAATTAACCAACAATAGAACAAAAAGAATGTCCCTGTATTATTTTAAGATTTTTGCTTCAATTATAAAAGCTATCAAAGTTGTAGGTTTTTGTTTTGTTTTGTTTTCTGTTTTTGTCACCATGCTAGGGAAAACTTAATATAAATAATTTCGATGTCCTTCTCATTCCAGAATTTCTTATAGTATTTTTTAAAGACATTATTTTGTATTTATTGTTATGAATTAAAATAATTGGCTCATAATAACCCACTCTGCGATTTTTTTTGTGACAACTTAAGAGCAATTTGAATGGCAATTAAGGGCATTTAATGTGTCTTTTGCTATTAGCTGTATTTATTGAAATGGTGGTTTTATATATGGAATTTTAAATCATTGATGCTGTAGGGCACTAATATCTGTAATTTGATTAGGTACTCACGGTTACATAAAGAGCACCCTCCACTTTCAGCATAACTCAATTGCCATTAATTTGGGGTTTTTTTTAATGTGACAGTGCATTTGTGAAATAATTCTAGAAAGACCTGCTGTGGGCTGACATTTCTGAAACATTAGGAATTATTCATTCTTCCGGTAGGGGGTTAAAATATGCAAAGATGAACTAAGAAAATTAGAACTGTTGTTTTTCTCTCAGAGTCTAAAAGTTATTTTCCATTAATTAACTGTATGGGAATTTGTGTTTATTGGCCTTTTATTTGATTTAGAGAAAAAGAAGAGAGAAGATAGTTCACAAATCCACACATTTAACAGCTTATTTTGTATAAGAAATAAACGATGACGACAGTAGCTTTAGAGATGATTTAATTAAAATTTTGTTTATTTTGATTAGAAAAATCTTTTCTTTTTCAATACTCACAAATATCAAGGTTTTTTTTTGTTTGTTTCTTTTTTAAATAATCAAATAGCCTTTGTGCGCTTAAGGGTTCTTAAGAAATTCACTGAACAACAGATAGCATGAATTTCAATTAGCATAATGAAGGTGGGATTTACTATATCCCTATCTGACATATATTAATACATTTCATTTTAATGCAAATCTATCCTCCTACGGTAAAATATAACTGTTAACAATTATGCACTATTAAGTTTGTTTTCAATTCTTTAAACTTCCATAAGAGACATATTCTATAGTAAATTCACTAAAATAGCTGGTCAATTAGGTGTTTTAACTTCAAAGCCTGTAACTTAATTTTACATCCCTGGAAGAATGTTAAATTCATAGGATACTTAGGAATTTCAGTAAGCTCTGTGGAGTAGGGTAGAGTTGCACATCTTCAGCCATATTTAAAGAAAGAACTGAGGAAGACATCAAATTGCACGCTCAAATTGTGGCTCTAACATGCTATGTATGTTTGCTCGGGCTGCTATAACAAAGTACCACAGACTGAGTGGCTTAAACAACAGAAATGCATTTCCTGGCAGTTCTGGAGACTAGAAGTCTAAGAGCAAGATGTCAGCAGGATTGGTTTCTTCTGAGGCCCCTTTCCCTGTCTTATAGATGGCTGTCATCTCCCTGTGTCTCTCTGTGTCTTTCTTCTGCAGGTGTCTGTCCTAATCTCCTGTTCTTATAAGGACACATGTCAAGTTGGATTAGGGTCAACCCTAATGACCTCATTTTTACTTAATTACCTCTTTAAAGATCCTATCTCTAAATACAGTTGCATTCTGAGGTATTGGAAATTAGGACTTCACTGTATGAGTTTTAGAGAGTTGTAATTCAGCCTATGACACATACATATGCTGTTTTCACTGGACAGCCCAAAGAGAATAGTGCCACTGAGTTGGGAAGGAAGCAGTATGTGAAATGTTGTGGTTCATATTCTAGGAAGTTAAATGTTCCTATATTTCTCCTTCCCACCATTCAAATGTGAACACATGGGAAATGCTTCACTAAGGTATTGTTTCTCATTTAGAAATACAGTATCTTAAAATTTTCCATTTTAAAGGAAAAAAAGCTTTTAGGATGTTATCTCCTTTCTCGGCCAAAGAAAAATAGCAAAGAGCATGCTGGGTCAAAACGATGTCTATTCAATCTAGTTTTCTATCTTAGAGAGGAATGTCATGAATTAACCTTAGGAAAAAACATCCTCACTCATGTGATGGTAGTTTCAGATGGCCAGAGTTGATTGGCCAAATTTCTCTAATAACGATGACATTCATTTATCTAGACAAGAGCTTTTAATTCTTTTCAAGCCATTAGTTCCCTTTGAGAATCTGATGGAAACTATGTTCTACTTTTCCCTATGTGCCAGAAAATAATGGACACCAAAGAAGCCTCTGAAACTTGGAAATGGTACCATGATCTAATCCTTCCATTCATTCAGCTCTCTGACATTCATTTATTAACCATGTATTTTTGACTGTTTTACTTTGTGTAGTCTAATGCAACCAGTACTGGCATTTTTAGCTCTTGAAATAATGAGTGATGCACCCCCAGCAGATCATAGAATTCTAGAAGTAGGATTTTGAGGATCCTCCATTTTGGTCTCTTGATTTTGCTGATTTAGAAACTGACCCAGGCAGTTTATCCTTGGCCACCTATTGCGTATTAGCAGTAGATATGTCACAAATATTCAGATTTTTTGATAATTGCCTGATCATTCTTACCATATTGCCATATCTAAAAAAAATAGTACTTTATAAATTATTTTAAAGTTATTATTTCTTTCAAGTTCTAGCATGTACCCCTAGTATTCTAAATTTTGTTTAAAAAATCCATTTTTTTCTGTTGTGGATGAGAAGAATCCAGATATTTAAGTTTGGTTGCTATGTGATTTGGTAGCCACTTAATTTTTGACATCTCAATTTCTCATCAGAAAAATTGTGATAAATACTCTTTGTTACCACATGAGATGATTATGAAGGGCAAATGAACTAATATGTAGAAAGGTCTATAAACTATAAAGGTAAAATTGATCCCATTTATGAGTTCACAGCCTCACTCAGTCTTTATCTTCTCAGGTTACGAAGTCTTAATTTCATAGTCTTCCTTCTAGACTTAATTATTTAAATTATGATTTAAAGCAATAGTCTGGAATACTTTGTTTAAATACTTTTGCCTCTATAGAAAATATTAGCCTCACTTGCTGTGGTGTTAAGTCATTTTTTTCCACTTTTCCAAGATGGATTTAATTGTATAAGGTGCATGTCTTTCCAGTGAAATTAATTTCAGGAGTTACTTATGAAAACTATCAGGGAACCAAGTACTTAAATATTGGGTATGTCACTCACTAATAAATTTCATTTGCTCCCTATTGTCTCTCAAATCCAGATATCCTATTTAACATCAAAGCCCTCCATCATCTGACCCCATATAACCTGGACAACTTTATCAACCATTTAGCCTTGATGCAAGTCCTGGCAACACCTGAATGAGTCTTGCCATACCCTTACCTCTGTTCCCTTGCCCAAGCTTTTCCTGTGATACTCCACTTTCTCCTAGTTGAGAAAGGCGAGCCCCGTCATGCCTTCAATGTCCAACTTACCTTCTTTATCAAATGTTGTCATACTAATGACTACTCAGACTAATCACCAATCATTAATTGGTAAGCCACAATTATCTTGTACTTGATTATTTCCATACATAAAGGTTGGTCTCATATTTTCTTATGATTCTCTACTTATTTCCTTCTCTCATTTAGTGTGTAAGCTTATGGGTAGGAAACGTGTCTTACTTTTCTATGGGTCCCTCTGGTATGTAGAAATATCCTGGACCACAGTAAACCTTTACAACTGTTGATGGTACGATGAGTGGATGATTGCCATTTTCAGTAGTCTTTCTGATGGTATTTTTTTCTTACATTGACACCATAGACTGGAGGTCATACTCTAATGGCTATCATTTTGATCTTTTTTTCCCTTAAGGTATTGCTTTGTCCTTAGCCATATTCATTTTCCAGCACATTCATTCACACAACCTTTTGTTATCTTCACAAATCTACTGTTTGATTGTAGCCAAAGAATAAAATTTTCTGATTCTTTGGAGGAAAGAAAACAGACATTATTTTCATGTGATAATTAGGAAACCCCTTAAAAAATAGGAAGTAGAAACGTAATTTTTAGCATGAGTCAATTTAAGGTTATTTTGAAAGTATTTCTATAATTGCGAGAAACTGGAATACTAACTTAGAAATTCTGCTTGTAATGGCTATATTTATTTTTAAATTTAAGTATTACTTATTTCATAGATTGATTCTGAGTGTCATATACATACATTGTAGGGGTTCAAGGAATTTATTGGATATGATTTAATATAGATATAGACTTTGGCTATTGTGAGACTGTTTTGAAAATACTTTTTACCAATCCCTAAGCATGTTTTTCTTTTTATTTACTTTATACTTTATGTCTTAGTATGTATGCAGAAACTTACCTGAATACTTATAATTTGAGAATGGAAGATATAAGTTAAGGTTAATAGTAAAAATATCAATAAGACCAAGATTTAAATATAGTTTGACTATAAGACTACCAAAAATTAAAGTTATATGATGCAAATATTTACCAGTTTTTGAAATAGCATGAATTACTAAAATTTATGCATTCATATAATCATGTAAACATTCATTTATAGGTTTTAAATGTACTGTATTTCTAAATTGAAAATATAGTTTAAGAAAAGTAACAATTAAAACCTAAACTAAAAACTGATCCTGAATCTGCAGTAATAAAGATAGCAATAAAGACGTTTGTCATGACTGTGTGTTATTCTATAGTAAGGATCATAATGTTATTAATTTTTGCAATTTCTGTATTTACTTTTCCCCATCCTCAGGATCTAGTATAGTGATTCACATTTGATAGACAGCTCAGCAATTCTTTGATAAATGATGGAATATAGACAACTTTCTGCTTTTAAAGATAAAATAAAATTTTTCTTTTTGTCAGCTTACAAGTGTAATTGAAATGGTCTCTCATTGGCATAGGGTGAAGCTATTTCCTGGTGTTGATTAATCAATACATTTTGTATTTAATTATAATTTGATATTCCCCCAAACAGAGATTCCACACATGTCTAAGATCACTGACTAGTATAATTGCAACAATAACATACAAAACTGCACTATTATAGTCCAAAATCAATAAAGACAATACATTTTTAAGTATTCAGCAAGTTATAAGCCCTCGGTATACAGTTAATTATTCAGTCAGTTTTCTTATATTTATTTTTAGATATATCACTTGTCCTTTCTTGCTGTATTAACTCACATGCATATTATATAAGCTCTAGCTATCTATTTTGAATCTTGCATTTATAATTAATAGATTTTAATTCATAATATTTATAGAAATGAAATCTTTTCTCCCCCCACCCCCCAAAGATTCCACTGGGGAATTGGGGGAGGGGAACAGCGTTGGGGAATTGGGAAAAGGGAACAGACAAGTTGGCTGTCCTTTTGTTCTTCAGTCTAGCTGTGGAGGACAATGCTTCACTGGCCCATGTTGGTATTGTGATCATTGCACTCTTCCCGGATGAGGCAGATCGGTCACTGGCCATTGGCAGATCGCTCATGGCGGCTCACAACAGCTCATGCTGGCTGCTGGCCACTCACGGTAGCTCCTAGCAGCCCACTGCAGCAGGGGCTGCAGCCTAGCCGTCGCCCGTGACTCACGGCAGCCCAGCTCCAGGTCGAGCTATTGTTCAGCATCTTAGCTGTAGAGGGCAGTGTCACTGGCCCTCATGTGGGATCTGAACCCGAACCCTGCTGCTCAGAGCTGGTGCTCCCAAGCCAATTTTTAACCAATGCACAACTCGGCCGGCCCAAAATGAAATCTTTTCAAGCTTTATCATTAAAGTGTTCATTTTGACTTAATTTTTTCTTCCTACGTAGTTCGTATGTTGTGTATAAAGTGACTTCAGGCATGTATCCTTTCAGACTAAGTCAAACATACTATTAAAATATATCATGAAATTGTTGTGTGGGTTTAACATTAATTATTAAATGTAAGTAGAAAAGTTATACTTTTAAGATGCAATCATTTTTAATGGTTTACCCTCAAAATAGATATTCAGAAATAATTAATATACTGTATACAATTTTAAATTCATGTAACACATTGCGATTCTTATACTTTCAGGGGTCGGACTGGAAAAATCAGAGTGCAAAGTCTGAAGATTGGCTTGATGTCTCTCTCTAAAGGCCTCTTAGAAGAAAAATACAGATGTATGTAAGAACTTTCCTGTACCGATGTGTTTTTAGTAATGATAATGATCATTTATTGGAGACTAACTTTATATGAATTGCTAGTAATAATAATTCCCATTTCTTTAATCCATACTAAATATGTCCAGGCTAGACAAAGGGTACCAGTACAAAGAGGTGTGGATTTGTGTGAAATGAAAAGTTGATTATAGGATCAAGGGGTGAGGTGCCTTGATGGAGTGAGAACCAACCATAAATTATAGCTCAGTTAATTCTTCGAATAATCACCCCATAATGATGTAGGCATTGTGATTTTCATTTTCCAGCTGAAAAAATGTAGTGCTAACATAGGTTAAAAATCTAATCAAAAGCTGTAGTGACAATAAATCATGGGGCGAGAATTAAATCATAGAGTTTTCCGACTCTAAAGCTCAAGCCTTTTTTACTTCTGTGTACTTCTAATGTTTCAAAGAAATAAAATGAAGACTACAACCTTTACACGCTACTTTATACTAGAACCTGTGTACTTAAAATACTTACAAAAATAATCGAGATGGACTAGAACTGCTATAGACGTAGTCAAACAAATAACTATATAGTATAAAACTTGAAAAGTGATAAAAACATATTTTGTTGTATTTGTTTTCATTTACCAAATAAATTGGTGGTGTCCGTTTACCTGTCAGTGAACAAAGGGCAACTTGGCTTTTGGAAAAGGACAAGCTCAGAGGCCAGAGAGACCTGCCTTCAAACCTCACCTCTACCATTAGTGGCTAAGAGACTTTGGGCAGGTCACAAAATCCCACTGAATACTGCAGCTCAGATGTAATATTTTTTCCATTTCATGCTTCAGGAAGCTGAAATTTAGTGAATTTTCTTCAGCTAAACAATGAAGCTAATAATTCTTGTTTTGAAAGCAATTAGAGATAATATGTGAAAAGTACCTTGAAATAGCAGTTGTTGAATAAATTGTAACAATTACTGCTGTGTCTCCAAACTCTTAACTACTGTGAAATAGCTTTTGATTTAATTTTGTCCATAATGTGTGAGTTACTTGATCCTGCTATACATATTCCCAGATGACTCTTTACAGATATATGCATACATTTGGGGGAGAGAGCTGGGGATACTTCATGAATGGAGAGATAGCCAAAACAAGAGGATATTTGATTACAGGCCCTGTAAACTTAGTCAAGTATCGTTTTATGTGAATAGACATATCTTTTAAAAAGCATTTATTTTTCTAGGATGGCTGTGAGGTGATTTGATATTTAACTTCAGTTCTAGATCATAAAGGTTTTTTTTTGGTTTTTTTTTATGCAGTTTGACAAGAATGTCAGTGAAAAGAGGGATAGATTTGTATGAAAAGAAAAGCTGATTGTAGGTTCAGGAGGTGAGGTGCCTTGATGGAGTCATAATCTAGTAAACCATGCAGAAAAACGCTTGCTCGAGGCTTTTGTTTGGTGGCACTTTTATTTATCCAGAATTTAAATCATCTTCAGCATTACCATTGTCAAAGGATACCATTTTCAAAGCTAAAAAAGTTATTTCTGTATTGAGTGGGAAAGGAAAACATGAATGAAAGCATCACTGTACCAAAGTTAGAAAAGGACTTTTTTATCATCTGCGATTTGGGGTTTTCATGTGCCTCGGAAAGAAGGTAGGGTTCTCTGATTGTGACAATTGTTTCATGGTGCTCAACTTACTCTGAAACAAATGCAAATTCGACTTCAAAGTTTATCGTGAATCGTAAGCATGTAAGCACGACCTCTTTTCCTAAATCACTGGTTCCCTCCTCCCTTTTTCAAGCTGGTTATCAGGGAGCAACCTGAAACCAACAGAAAGAGTGACAATATGGTAGCTGTAGTTACAGAGCAAAAACAAATTCTGCACAAATTATATATAAAACATGTCTTTTTTCTATACACATACCTTCAAACGTATTTCTGAAATATATAATCTTTCAAATGAGGAGGGTATTTCAGCATACATGCACTCAGACACTCATACTACAGTGTAGAAAGTGGACACACTTTCTACAAATGTTTGGAAATGTGATACTCTGTATAATTTGACATTAAATTTTCAGATTTTGTGGGAAAAGCAGAAGCCCCTGCAATGACCATTTCGCTATTTAATTTATTCCACGAAGTATGCCATTTTACAACTTAATTAAATAAAAAACCTCCTGTGTTGAATTTAATGTAAATCTTTTTTGGGTGTGTTGAGACTCAGGAAACGTTCTGAGATTTGTTTTTTTGGGGTTTTTTTGGTTTTTCCTTTGGGGTCCTTAGCAACTCTGATTCCAGTTTTGATTTCCCCGGTGGTATCAGAGTAACACTTTCCTTGTTATTTCCTTTGTTAGAGTGAATCTTTAAAACAATTTGCTCTCCAAACTCAGCGGCAGTGGTGCCGTCTTGGATCATGTGGTATCTGTCTGAATGCTGATTTTGCAATGGCTAACGTTGGTGTCTTTACCCTGGCAACACCTCCCTCTCTTTTTATGCCTTCCTGAGAATATCCCTTGATTAGGTTCTAACAACACCCTGGCTTTCCTGCTCCTCATCCAAAGCACATCTACAAAGATCATTTTGAATGGCCTTTTGCATTTCTTCTGTGCTAATTTATTGGAACTTGGGTTTTAGATTGGACTTGCCTCTGACATCCTGACATTCCTTTTTATTTCTGACTATAACATCAAAATATGAACTTTTTAAAATATTTAAAAATATATCATTATGTTTAATGTTAATGTTCATCATTTCTCTGATGTTTGTGTGTAGTTTTACCTTTAGAGTGACATTGCAGTACAGCTATCTGCCTTAAAAGAGGAAAAGCTGGGCACCATTATCTCACTGAAAATGCGCGCTTCTGTGCACAGATTATTATACATATGCATCAACTCTATTTACCTTAGTGGCCTTTTCCCAGGAACAGGTTTAAAATGAGTATCATCGTAAGAATCCTGGATACATGTTTTCTGTCTATGATAGTCTTATTTTCGAGAAATGAAAAGAAACAAGTAGAACTCTAACCAAATCTAAGTGAACAAACGATAATAAAAATCAAATTTATCTTAACTGAATTTGCTTTCCCAACGTATGTTTATAATTAAAGTCATCTCATTATAGCTACTGTGTCAATATCACTAAGCTTGGTTCAGTTGTTTGAAAATTCACTACAGATCTAGACAGTATAGATCTAGCATTATTCCCCTTAAAAAAAAGGTGGGGGGGGGGAATGATACATTTTGATGTTATAGCCATTTACCACATATTGTTTGAAAATGGTTTTTAGGATTCAATAAATATTTACTCCCCTTTCTTCTGTTCTTGGAAAACTTCACATGAAAAGCATTTACAATTTGTGTAATTTTTGAATTTTTAGAACTTAGAAATTTTTTCCCAAGAAGTATTAGTTTTATAATGAAATGGGTTATTTTTATGTGAAATGTCTCTCTACTCCAAAAGCAACTTATTTAAGTATATTAACCTAATTGCTGGAAGTATGGTAATAATTTTAATCTTCAAACTATTGCAAATGGGGAATAGAAGATAAGCCAATACTGAAGAGTTAATTTTATTGAATCAAGACAGTAATAAGGCAAAGTTAATGGTTTTGTTTTTGGTTTTGGATGACTAGAAAAGCCTAAGAACTATGTGAAAATATGCATGAGTTTTATTAATAAGTCCTTAAATTTTAAATAAATGTATTTTATTACATGAAATGAAGTAAAACAAAAAATAATTTTAATAGCTAATTGGGAATAAGAGACTGATTGGACCTAAAAAAGAAAAAAAATCCCTAAAAATAAAACATACCTCCTTGTACTTTTTAATGTTTCTTCTGTAAAAGAGATCCGAGTATAGAAATCTTTAAAAGAAGTAAATATATGTATATTTAATAGAATATTAAATTTAGGAGTGAACACAAAATTTGATAAACAAATGTGTTAACATTTAAAGATTTGCTACTTAAGGTACATTTATTCCTTTGACAAGTCATGAAGAAAGCTTCATTTTGGCTCACTTGTCTTTCTCAATAAGAAGGAAAATCCTTATTGAGACCATTGAGTGAACCCACATGCATTTATGTACCATTTGAAAAGGAAATTTGTATTTATTGGTCTACTTACATGTATTGACATACAACAATAGGTCATTTTAAGAACCGTGTGGTTAACCAGCTCCTAATTACAGATGAGTAGAATTTCAAGGTTGTCATAATTCAGGAAGCAACTAATCTGATTCATGTTCCCATGATTTTTAAAAAATTTACATTGTTCAATCCCCATAACCAAAGACATAGTTTAAGTAAAAGAATACCGTAGACACATGGAAGTTAACCTCTTGCCTCTCCTCCTTACAGATCTCTTTAAGGAAGTGGCGGGGCCGACAGAAATGTGTGACCAGAGGCAGCTCGGCCTCTTACTTCACGATGCCATCCAGATCCCCCGGCAGCTGGGGGAAGTAGCAGCTTTTGGGGGCAGTAATATTGAACCCAGTGTTCGCAGCTGCTTCCAACAGGTAAACACGAAGGATCACTTGTATACAGGATATGTCAGGAAAGGGTTTTGAGGATGTTCCAAGAAATGGAATAGCGAACTTGGGCTGAAGCCTAATGGTAGAGGATGCTGTGTACCACCCCAGAAAATTTGTATTTTATCTCTTAAGGTGCATTTGATTCACGGAATGCCACTGCCTCAGAGATACTTACTGCTTCTCAGTGTATCCATCCAAAATCCTCAACGTGTGCTATCAGATTGCTGTGGTTTGGCCCCGCCTTTGCTCTGGCCTCATCTTTTGTCACTCATCCCCTCTTGCTCTTTGCTTTCCAGCCATACTGTTTTAGTTCCTCCATTTCTGCCTTACTGCCTTTGGACATACAAACTCTATTTAGAATGTTCTTCCATACCCTCCCCCACAAGCTCCCTTCTCATTGCTAATTCTTATTCATTCTTTAGATCTTTGCTTACATCTCACATCCTTGAAAATCCTTCACTCACCCCTGCAGATGAGGTTTTGTGCCCCACTGTATTCACCTGAATTGCCCCTGCCTTCTTAGGATGTTCATTACAATTATAATTACATACTGACTTGTATCATTGTTCAGTTTTTTTCTTCAGTACAAACCTAAGCTCCATGAACAAGGATTATTTCTCTCTTGTTACTATTGTATCCTTGAACATCATAGCTACTTAATAAATATTTGCTAAATAAATGTATAAAAATGCCCTGAGTTTCTTGCAGGCAAAATTTTAAAAAGGCATACATTAAAGATGCTATTAAAATAAGTCTTTTCTTTGAGAACATGTGAACTAAAGGAGAATGATGCACAGAGTTTTACACTGATCTAAGTTACTAATGTTAAACTTGAAAAGCATTTTAGTTTCTTTTTAATACTGTGTATAACTGCATTTTAGAGCTGTTACTACTGATGTTGTAATGTAAATATGCATAAAATACAAGCCTACAGATATTTACCCAAAGCATAGCCAATGATGTAGCATTGCTGAGGAGAAAAAAAAATGCTCACACCATCTCTTTAGGGAGAATTGATGTTATGGGTTATTACATTTCCTAATGGCCCTTTTTCTTGTTGTAGAGATATAAAATATACCAAATGAAAATTCTAAATATTATTTCCCCATGTGCTGTTTCGTAGAATGACCTTGACAAAAGCAAGAGAAAGATGTTGATATAAATTTAGCTTTGCATGTATGAAAAATTAGTTAATGTTAAGATTTGAAGAAGGACTAAGACATTTCATGCAATTCATCATGATTAATTTGGAAACCTGGCAAAGTGCATTCATAGTAATATGCCCCCAAGAGTGATGCTATAACAGGACCTCAGCAGGACATAGAAATAACAGGTTTTTTTTTATTTAATACTTATAATGGCCTTCAAGTTTGGGACGTTATCAGTGAGTTTTTCGTTTCACAAATTTTTACTGTCTTAGAAAATGAATTTTATAGAATTAAAATGTTTATGTGACAAGAGTAGCTTCTATGGGTTTTGTTTTTGTTTTCTTGAAATCTAAGTATATTAAGGTATTAGGATTTTTTTCTTCTTCTTCCTATATGACAATTTCTACTTTTCCTCTTTTAAAATTCTGGAATTTTCTTTCCTTGAAGAACCTTAAATATTTTGTGATTTATCTGACCTGGGAAGAACTATGTAACATTTCTTGTAATTGTGCACAGATTTCCAGATTAGGAAACAACAGTGCTTGCTGCAATTTAAATGAAGAAATTTTCTTCACTTTCAATGTGTTTGTTTCCTCGCCAGAATAACAACAAGCCAGAGATAAGTGTGAAAGAGTTTATAGATTGGATGCGTCTGGAACCACAGTCCATGGTTTGGCTGCCGGTTTTACATCGAGTGGCAGCAGCTGAGACTGCCAAACATCAGGCCAAATGCAACATCTGTAAAGAATGTCCAATTGTTGGATTCAGGTAAGATGATCTACAACCTGGGGCGACAGGAAACCATGTTCTGTTCTGCTTGTGGCGTCTCAGTGTATGTCCGTCGTCCCTTTCATTTATCCCCATTAGGGGGGTTTCCCTCCTAAATAAATGAGATGTTCTTATAGTCCATCTACCTAAAAATGGCATTTCGTCTTATAGCCACTACATGAAACTTATTTATCATTATGGTAGTTATTTGTATTATTTTGCTCCAAAAAGATTTTTCTGAATTTCTATTTGTATGGGTCACACACATGTTTATTCATGATAACTGCATGAATAGCCCTGATGGAACTTGGTGGTGTTCTGAGGCCTTTGGGATCAACTTAGTAAGCAAAGAGCATAATTTAAGTACTAACGGAGAAGTAATCGAATTGCTTTGTGTTACTTCTGCCAAGTTCTGTGTGAAGTAGATTAACCCTACTATTCACCATCACACAACGCTGCTAACCTCCATATTTTAATGTAATCAGTGTGTCAGCTTCATTAGTTTGTGGCCCCAAGTGGACTGTGCAGGGCCTATGGTTGGCCCCAGGATGAAGTACTGTGGCTATCTCGGTCATTTCACCTCTTTGTGTTTATATGAGTATGCATTAAACCTCTTAGCATAACTATGTTTCCCTTCTGGGAAGAATCTCAAAAATGGCTCATTTCATTTGGAAATCTATTATTGGTTTTGTTGTATGTAGTATCAGTATCCTCAATTAGACAAAGTTGTTTTCATTTGACTGACTTTATCAACATTATTTGTATGAAGAGTATCATTGCATTCTCTGTGGATGGTTAACTAAGAAATAGAGCCCAAATTTCCCATTCTTCCATTAATTGTGGTATGTTAGGGAGCCACTCTCAAGTGTTGTTAAGTTCAGAGTGCCCTGGTACCAGTGAGGATGTATATTCTCAGAGGATGAAAAGGCAGGTGGTCAGTGGGAAGCAGAATCAGCGTGAGACTGACAGCCAGGGTAACGCATGCCCCAGTGGAAGTCAAAGGGCAAATGCTGCAAAGGGGAAGATGGAAAAGGTACAGTTTAAACGCAGCAGGTTTCTTGGAGAGGCTAAATGTGAAGTACCTGGTGGATATAGATGGACAGACAAGAAAGGAAGTAGTTGGAATGTGGCAAGCTCAGGATACAAGTGGGAAGATAATCCAAATGAGAGATATAGTCATTGGAGGTAATAATCACTGCGATTTATCAAGTGCTTACTGTATGCAAGGCACTGTGCTAAAATGTGTTGCATTTACTCTTGATAAAAACCCTGTAATATTGGTAGGATTATCTCTTCTTTATACACAAAAGAGCTAAGACTTGGAGATTAGGCAACTTGCCCAAGGCCAGATATCCAATAAGTGAAGACAAGCTGGGATTCACATGTGATCCTTTTGACTTTGGAGTTACTCAATACCATAGTTTTACAAAGCAGATTAGATTTTTAGGAGAGGAGACATTTGACATTAAGAAGCAATTAGATGATACTAAACAGAACAATTGATTTAGGACATTGCTTATTAGACCAAAAATGTTATATTGTATATAAAAGTAATGTGAAACTACAGGAAATATCCAGATTAACTGAATTGGGAAGACTGGCTTATATAAAACTAGCCATGTATAGCCATTAATATAGCCCAGAGATGTGTTAAGGGACCAGATTTCTCAGAGGCTGTGGACATGGAAAGTGAGGACAGGACAAAAGACTAAAATATATTAGTGTTTGATTATACCTTTAAAGCTTTATTTCTTAACTAGAAAATGACCTGTAACTACTGCAGCATAACATTAAGATTTATCAAAGTTTTAGCTTTGGGTGCATGGATGTTCATTATATTAGTCTCTGTTTTTGGATAAACTGGAAATATTTCATAAGAGAAAAATGAAAGAGCAGTTACAAAGGGTGAACTATGTTAAGTGTTGAATTTTGGGTGTTTAAGTTTCCAATATTAATATAAAAGTCATATGTAGATGACTCTAATATAAAGATACGGAGTTGACCAGGCCATCAGGGGTCAAAGCTACAGCAGGATATTCAGGAGGCAGTGTATTGAGAACTGGTTCTGGAGTCAGGCTGCTTAGGTTTGCATCCTGGATTTACTGTGTGACTGACTGTGTCACTTTAGATAGGTCACCTGGTCTTACTGAACCTGCGTTTCTTCAACTTCAAGTTCTGTGAGTGTTTTCAGATAGGAATAGATAATACCTGAAAAGTGATTAGGGCAGTGCCTATCACAGGAAGAGCAGACATTCAATAAATGTTAGCTTCTTTACTTATTACCAGTAGCTAATAACCATTAGTGGGATAGTAATTCAGCCTACAAGTGATATTGGAATGTTTATTGAACTGTTCCATTAAGTGGAAATGCCAGAAAAGCCTGAACAATGCTGATGCTCAGTAGAAGGCAGGGTTGAAAAGAGGGTTACAAGAGGGAGAGAAGATGATGGAGATTCTTAAGAGAAGTAACGAATCATAATGTGGTAGAAATAAAAAAGAGGGCTTTAGAAAGATGGTAGCGGAGTTCATTAGATGCAGCAGAGATTCTAAAGATTCTAAAGGACAGACCATTGATTCGGGAGAAGTCCTTGGTAATTTTAGAGAGAACTCTATCCATGTCATGGTAAGGATGGGAGGCAGGTCTCAGGCTCAGAAAAATAAGTAAGTTAAAATGTGCAAACCACTTTCTCAAGGAATCTAGATAAAACTTGAAGAAAATATGTCAGTATTGAAACTGATAAGATGGCCGGTGATATCTCATCTTCCTTTTACTTGCATATATATTTTTCCAGTTTTCTATTTTGCAAATATAGTCTATTTAAAATTTTTAATCTCTGAATGGAGGAAAAATACGTCTGGGGTTGATACCTGGTTAATGAGACCAAGCAAAGGTTTCTTCAAACTAATGGCAATTTAATGATTGCACAGAGATTATTCATGGAGGAGTCAATGGAAGAACAATTCCACTAATACAACAGGGCCAAGATAGAATGGGTCTGCTTAGCTCTTAGGTAAATGGCTCTCTCTTTCGCTGAGCTACAAGGAAAAATAAAGAAACAACTCTAGAAATAAAAATAGAGGAATATGGGCATTATTGAATAACATTAACTTCATCCAGGTTGACTCTGTATCAAGCTACCTCTTTAGATATATATTTTTGAACTTTTATAACTACTGCTAGAGTTTTTCTGTAATTACTTCCAAATTAAATTTTAATGAAATCTTAGATTTACAGAATGTTTTACAAGTTGGGAATTGTTTCAGTTAGGATAGCATGCAGCTGCTTAATAGAAGCATAAGTAAATTAGAAGCTTAGTTTCCTTTCATGTAAAAAAGTTCTAAGATAGGAATCCAAGATTGAATGGTGGCTTTCCAGACATCTGGGTTCATCATTATTGTTTTTCCCAGCTTCACTGAAATATAATTGACATATAAATTGTGTAAATTTAAGGTGTATAACATGTTGACTTGATACACTTTCTGCAAAATGATTACCTCCACGGTGTTAGCTAGCACCTGCATCATGTCACATAAGGACCGTTTCTTGTTTGTGGTGAGAACATTTAAAATATACTCTCAGCAATTTCCAAGTGTATTATACAGTATTAGTAACCATTGGGTGGTCGGAAAAGTCATGACACATTTTTGCAATGAAAAACATAGAAAAAATACGTCATGACTTTTCCGACAACCTAATATATCACGATGCTGTACATTAGATTCCTGGAACCTATCCTTCTTATAACGGAATGTTTGTACCGTTTGACCAACATCCCCCCTTTTATAGTCCTGGCTTTACGGTCTGTCATCCTTAGCAGGTGACTTCATCTTCAAGGTCACCTCATGCTAACAGAATGGCCCTTCTTAATGTCAAATCTATTTTCCAGGAAGGAAGAAGAGGGACCATGTTTCTTTCCAACTGAGTCAATTCCTTGAAATCCCAACTAGAAACCCCACCCACTGACTTTGACTTGTATTGCCTTGGCCACCACCATCAACCAGAGGGACTGAGACGTTAGCAAGGCACACTGCCCACTAATAGAGCCAGTGTCTGGTATCAGTGAGGAAAGGGAGAATGGCTTTCTGCCATGGAGTGATCAGCAATAAACAAAATTCCATTTAAAAGAGAGTAATATTTGTCAAGCCATGTTGATAGGTCAAGGAATATTATTAGCATAGGTGAATGTTTCAAACTAAATTGCTTCCCTGCCAAAATAAGCTGGATGTGGTATATGCTGATTAATTTTCTTGAGATCGATTTGCAAGTAATTTTTGCAGGTCATTTTAGAAGCTACTTGGCACTTAATAGTTTACTATATTAACCGCATATAACCTTTACGTTTTGTTTCCATTTAAACTCTGTTAGTCCTGTTACTTAATTTTTTTTTTTTTCTGTAGATACAAATACATTTATGTTCTTAGTTTATGCCATTTATGCCATTCTGGGAGATGGAGGATCTGGAAAGTGTTTTCCAACTCGGACCCACAGAAACTTAAGATCTAGAGTTTCACTCCTCTAAATAAGATTCTGCAAATGAAGGGCAATGTACAGTGTCACTAAGCAAATTCCACATTTGTAGCCAATATGCCTTTTGTTTCCGTAGTGATTTAGATAAATGAAATTCCTTCCACAGATGATTGATTTGAACTAAATAATAGGCACACAAGCCCATGAATTTCCTTTTCTTCTCTCTAGGTATAGAAGCCTCAAGCATTTTAACTATGATGTCTGCCAGAGTTGCTTTTTCTCGGGCCGAACAGCAAAAGGTCACAAATTACATTATCCAATGGTGGAATACTGCATACCTGTGAGTACTGCACTACTGTTTTTTTGTGTTTTTGTTTTTTTTTAATATATTGCTTGTGAATTAACCAGCATCTAAAATAAAATTCAGTTTAGACAACTTTTTTTTTAAAAAAAAATCACTTTCTAGATTGCTTAACCATATATTTGTTTTGTTTTATTTATATACTTGTAAACATATCTATGTTGAATTCATTAACACAGAATAATTATACCTTTTTTAGAAAAATTAACTAATTAAATTTTGTCTACATCTGTGTTTTGATTTTAGACAACTTTCTTGGCAGCAAACTCTTTTAAGAGCACATGCTGACCTGTATTGAAAATGATACTATGTAATGAGAAATCATGTTTCTTTTAGACATATTTAAAATGGTTTCATAATTATTTATTTTCATTACCAAAAATGTAGAAAATGGAGAAAGTAAAAAAAAAAAAATCCATTAATGTAGCTCCTAAATAAACTACCTTCCAATATTTTTCCATGTCTCTGACTTTAAGATTTTAAAATTTTTTATATTTATATAATTTTATCCTGCTTTTTCACTGAGCATGTTGTATAGTAAGTGTTCCCTCATGTTGTCACACAGTATAATTTTCCCTTGATGCAGAATATTTAATTGAGTGAATTAAACTAATTTATCTAACCAGTCCCTTAAATTTGGACATTTAGCTAATTTTCAGTTTTCTGATATTATAAACAACACTCAAATATCTTTGTGAAGAGAGATTTTCCCATATAGTATATAAATTAAATTTCCAAAGAATAAAATACTAGAAATGGATAATCTGGGTCAATGAACAGGAGAGTATTTTCATGGCCAAATACTTAATGTCATTTTCCAAAAGAGGCTTATACCACTTTACATTATTCACACATTTTGTTAATGTCCTGACTTTACTACAGCCTCACTAGCATTGGATACTGATTTTTGTTGTCCTTTTGATATAAAGCTATTTTTCCTGTAGTTATCTTCATTTTCTCTCAACAGCTATTTTTTAGCCTCCTTCCAAATAATGCGCCAAAATTTATTCATAGAGCTATACATTTTCTTTGGTTTAGGGAACTGAGTTACTTTTTGTATCAAAAATTGACAGGAAGGCAGAAAAACTTATAAAATATACAGATATAAACCTCACTTACTTTCTGAGGTATCTTCTCAAATAAATAGGGACCCTATATGTGGAGAGGGAACCTCTAGACAATGTTACAGAATTATAAATGAAATACCCATAGTGCATAATAGCTTCAAGTAGGAAAAAAAAAATTCCCCTAAGAAAATTTGTGGAGCACCATTTATTACTATGATTAATGTATTTAATCATTCAACAAATAAATATTGAGTACTTACCATGTGTCATACTTTTCTCAGCTCTGATAACTCATCAGTGTACTATCAAAACAGAGAAGATTGCAGATTCTCCTGCTACTTTTCATTTAGGAGGAGGGGATGTGTGACAGTGAGCAAGGAAACAAATGAGATTACGGATTGTAGTAAGTGCCGTTATAGAAATAAAAGGATAACAAAAAAGATGAGAGGAGAGACTTTTAGATTAAAAAAAAATCAAGTCTGAGAAGTTAGCAGTTGAGACTGAAGGATGAGAAAGAATTGGCTGCATAGAGAACTAGGGAAGGGTATTTCAGAAGAAAGAGAGAGCACACAGGATGGTCTGGAGGTGGGAAAGAGGTTGGCATGATAGGGGCACAGGAGAAAGTAGAGCATATTCTACAAGGGGAGTGCGGTAGGTGGCACTGGCTATATATGCTGAAGTGCCCAGAGCAAAACGAAATGCTACAAAATTATTACGACTTTCATTCAGGATGGCAACAGCAGAGCATTAAGCCAAGCTCAGGGCGCTTCTAAGCATGGGTCCCCTTGCAACTGACCAGGTCAGACATCTACGAAGCTGGCCCTCGGGTGGGAAGGGAGAATGGTTGGAGATGGGATTAAAGAGAAAGGTATCAGATGGTACAGAACCCAGTGGGTCATTGTAAGGAATTCAGATTGGGGAGAAATATAATATCGGTATTTACATAATCATAGTTAGAAATTTTGGAAACTGTATGAAGAGTTAATATCAAAATGGGAAAAATCATAGCATAAATATATGTTAAAGATGTATGGAAATGACTACATATTTAGCATGTATGAAGTAAGCAAAATGTGTAAAAAATTATGGTTTTTCTTGGTCTTAAACCTTTTTTTTTCTAAACTAGGCCCCTTTTTTTCCTTTTCTTGTATTTTTCAATGACAGTTGCCATTCAATATTATATTTGTTGCAGGTGTACAGCATAGTGGTTAGACGTTTGTATAGGTTACAAAGTGATGCTGATAAGTCTAATACCCACCTGACAGCATATATAGTTATTACAATATTATTGTTTATATTCCCTAAGCTGTACTTTACATTCCTGTGACTGTTTTGTAAATGCCAATTTGTACTCTTTAATCCCTTCACCATTTTCACCCAGCCCCTCCATCTGGCAACCCCATCCCATCTGGCAACCATCAGGTTTCTCTGTATCTATGAGTTTATTTATACAGAAGCAACCCAAGTGCCCATCAATAGATGATTGGATAAAGAAGATGTGGTATATATATATATAACTCAACCATAAAAAAGAATGAAATCTTGCCATTTTTGACTACATGAGTGGACCTAGAGGGTATTATGCTAAGTGCAATGTCAGACAGAGAAAGACAAATACCAAATGATTTCATTTGTATGTAGAATATAAACAACAAAATAAATGATCCAGCTACCATATTTAAATTAAATGTGTAAATTACCTAAAACACTTGTTGTTACATAGTCTTCCCAAAGTCACTGTTGTCGTGTCTAAGGTGACAGCGCACCCTGTATTGAACGGGTCAGCTTCCTTTCTGCAGATGTGCTTTGGGAGGTCCTTGGCTCCTTTCTGAAGTTTTCGCGGTGGTCTTAATCAGCAACCTACTCATAAATCATCTCTAGTGACAAGTTATTTTCTGCATTTGACCCCACAACTTTTGATAAAATGACTAGCCTTTGAATGGCATAGTCTTGAATTTAATAGTAATGAATTACTTGATTTAACTGCTTTCCACAATTTCTGTTTTCTTTTAAGTGAGCTTTATTTATGGCCCATCCATCTTTTACCCAGCATTCCCTAAACTCATTTGATATCTGCCTTAGAAAATGAACATAAGTATACAATTTTCAGTGCACTGACAATGAACACCACAGGAGTATTTAACTATTTAATGAATCAGACCTTTCTAGACAGATCTTCATGTTTGTATTTGTCATAGTGCATCTCCATTTATAGTTAAGAAAATGCTCTATTCATATTCCTGGCTTGATTTCTTTCCTCTTCAAGTTCCTTTTTTGACTGAATCTCAGTGTTTTTATGTTAAAGTCTTTCAGAAACTTAGAAGCCTTATCTTAAACCCTCAAAGCTCCAGAAATATTTTTTGGAATGTATCAACTTATTACCTATGACAGTGTTTGTCTTTAGATGTAGGAAGATCAGTGGTGTACGAAGTAGCTGTCATAATTTATGAAGGCATAATATTTTATGAAATTGATAATAAAACACATATACAGAAAAGAAGTGGAATTTTTCTCTAAGAAATGATGGGGTTTTTTTGTTGTTTTTTTTTTTAAAGATTTGTATTGGGGAGTTAGGGGAAGGGGAACAGACAAGTTGCTGTCTTTTTGTTCTTCAGTCTAGTTGTGGAGGACGTTGCTTCACTGGCCCAAGTTGGCACCAGAATTGCACTCTTCCCAGGTGAGGCAGATCAGTCGCCGGCTTCTGGACGGCCGCTCATGGCAGCTTGAGGGCCACTCACACTGGCTGCTGGCTACATACGGTAGCCCATGGCAACCCACTGCCACAGGGGCTGCAGCCCACGCCATCGCCGGCAACTCACGGCA